TTTTTTTTTTTGCAATCTTCCTCTAGTCGAGTTCTGATTATCGAACCATCGAGGCTAGGTCAAAAGGGTACTGTCTGCATGTTTGGGTGTTGTTATGCATCTCCCCTCACTTCATATCAGCTGGATGCTTCACTCTCAGCTCTAGCCCTCTGTGGCTAAGTCCTTGTATATGGGCTCAAGTGTCCTCAGTTCTCACCACACTTTGGACTAACCAGCCCTTCCTTTTCTTTCTCTCATCTCCAGGTCATCGGGATTCAATGGACTGTGGTTGAACTCAGCCCATTTCTTCATTGCTGCCTTTCCCCTCTTCCATTCACCAGTAGACCAATGTAGTCACCAGCAAGCTTACATGCTTGTTTGTGTGTTCCCTTTGAGTTTCAGTCTTAGAGGAGAATTTGTCCTGAAGGCACTTGATTGCTAGCCTTGATGTCTTCCTGGTGAACAGCTTGCTTATTATTATTCTTGTAGTAGCCAGTCATGCTGACATTTTTGTTTTGGGTTTTTCCTGATGATCTTTCTCTGAAGATGTTATCTTCTGTCACTGTAGCTGTACCAGGCTGATCTGCTTGCCCTTTTTAGTGGGAATGTGTCACCTCATAACGTTCTGGATGGGACTCAGGATTCCTTACACCTAAGGTCCTGTATGCTACAAAGGCTTTGCAAGAGGCCCATTTCACTGGGCAAGTTCTAGAACCCCTTTTAGGTATTCCAATTAGTTATAGGCTGAAGATGGGCTTATAAGTTTTCTCTAATCATGTTTCCCAACATTCCTTTCTATCCCACTCAAATGTCTATTTTACAATAGTAGGTAAGGGAAACTAATATTCATAACAGTCAAGCATTTTGGTATTATTTCCCCTCTTCAAGCTATACCTAGATCCTTGTATCCCAGAGCCCTGTATTTCCAAGGTTGAGCATGCATCACTATTTACCTCTGTCCCACTTAGGCCATGCAAACCTGTCTCAGTATTCCCCTATCTATCTTGTTCTTCTGCCTCCTCCCCTCTTCTTGTATTGCCCTCCCCAACACCCAAACTAAACCTCCCACACCTACCCCACTGTGGTTACCTTCTATTCCATTAGTTCTTCCCTCCATTTAAGACAGTCTATTTTATCCTATAATCTACCTGACCTTCCCACCACCTGGATCTCTGTTCTTCTGTGCTTACCTTCTTTCACATTGTAATTGTTTTGATCATAGATTGACCTTCCAGATTCTCTGTTCTTATGATTTTATTCTGTTCTTGACTCTTCCATTTGTTGATTGAGTTCAGGGTGATGCTGCCATGTACGTCTTTCTGTAGTTATCTGTTCTTGTTGGTTCTCAGTCCACAGAACTTCCTTTAAGATGTTCTTCATAGCAGGGTTGGCTTTGGCAAAATCCCTTAGCTTCTGTTTATCCTGGAATGTTTTGATTACACCATTGTATTTGATTGACAGATTTGCTGAGTAGAGAATTCTTGGTTGGCATTTTTTTTTCTTTCAGGGTTTTATATATGTCTCCCCATTGCCTTCTTGCCTGCATGGTTTCTGTTGAGAGATCCAAATTTAATCTGATTTGCTTACCTTTGTATGTTACACTTCTCTTTTCCCTAGCTGCTTTCAAGATCCTGCCCTTATCTTTGATTTTGGAAAGCTTGATTATTATATGTCTTGGTGATTTTCTTTTTCCTTACATATTTTTTATTAAGACCTTTCAAAGTCTAAAAATAATTTTCTCTGTTTCTGACACATGGGATCTTAGAGTACTTTAATTTAGTATTGTTGAATGAAGGAATAAGAAGCCATGAAGGTTAAACCTTTTACTAAAATGTGGCCATCTCATTACTGCTATTTGCATAGAAAATAAATAATGTACCATTAGTTTACTCCATAAATCAAGGACCTGGGCTCAGGTTTTGACAATATAAACTGTATGACCTGAATAACTGCTTTTTATTGTTAGAAATACTCTTCTTTATACAGTTAACAAAGGAATGAAATGATCCATCACTTTTGTAGTTAAACAATTAGTCTTCATTGTCTTCTCCCTTCAATTACTGAACTCCTTGAAGATCTTCTACCTTTCATTTCATATGTATCTGTTAATTCAATAAACATTTATTTAGCACCATGTACTGGAGTCCTGGTGTGGTGCTGTAGGATGGATAAGCAATGTAATGCTAACCGCAAGGTCAGCAGTTCAAACCCACCAGCCACTCATTGGAAACCTTATACTGGGTTGCTCTGAGTTGGAACCAATTTAACAACAACAACACATACTGAATTGGAGTTCTTGTGTGGCACTATAGGGAAAGCACTGGACTTCTAACTGTTAAGGTTTGAGGTTTAAACCCACCAGCTTACTCCTCAGAAAACTTATACAGTGTCCCTATGAGTTGGAACCTAGTCAACGGCACCAAACAACAATAGCATGTACTGAATTAGAGTCCCTTGGGGGTTTAAATGGTAAATGTTCAACTACTAAACAAAAGGTTGGTGGTTTGAATCCACACAGAGACACCTCAGAAGATCTGGTAATCTACTTCCCTGAAATCAACCATTGTAAACCTTATAGAGAACAGTTCTATTCAAATGTGGACTCACTGTGAGTCCGAATTGACTTGCTGTCCAGTGGTTTTCGTTTGTTTACCTACTGAATTAAATTGAGACATTAATTGAAGTCTTGATTGTTTTCTCTGGCATGTGTAATGAAAGAATTAAATGTAAAGTTCATAAAATATTGGATTCTTGGATTTGCAAACAAAAAATAAAATTAGATGATTAGTTCTGGGCATCTACCTTGGCATGGTAACTTAGACAGATGTTTAATAAACCTGCAATTTCCACTCACTGGGCAGCTAGTGGGAAGGAATATTTTATGATACAGCAGCGCTGACCTTTATTTATCCCAGTAGAAATTAGGATCCAGAGCATGATGTATTCAGTGATAAAGTGGTTAAAGTGACCCTTAACACCTTTTGATTTGTACTAAAGATGTGGATTATACTTTCCCCTTTAGTAGTACCCCAGAACAAGTTGAAAATTGTGCCTCATATTTGTCATACATTTTGAATTGAATTATAACTATGAACATTATAATATTAAAGGAAGAGCAAGCCAATGATAAAACATAAGGAGCATATACACGTCTGTATCTCTAGTTACTAACTTGTAGGTCTCCAGAAACTGAGAAGTGGCCTTTTGAAGAACATATTTGCATCTTTTGAAAAACACACTTTCAGTTCTCTGTATCAGTACTCTTTTCCCACCTATACTGAAACCATAACTACTTTTAGATTCCGAATATAGAGGTTAAAAGCTGTGAGAGCTTGATTTTAGAATAATAAATGAATAAAAGCCATCAAGAAAGATGCAGCCTCTGAATTAGTCCTTGCAAATTGCCTCTGATAGAACGTTGTCTCTATGAATTAAGAGAAAGTATTATGGGGAGTAATATGTGGTCCAGTGTCTTAGCTAACAAGTGCTGCCATAACGGAAATACCACAAGTGAGTGATGTAAAGAACGGAAACTTATTTTCCCATGGTTCTGGAGAATGGACATCCAGATTAGAGAATGAACGTCTTGGCCATGTCAAGTCCTCTGTGAGCCTTGCACCTACCATCTGATGTCTGCTGCCATTCCTTGACACCTGCCTTTTCCCTGTGTAGTATCTCTGTGCTCTACTAGTCTTTATAGTGATCAGGCTTATGACCCACCCTGTACTGGTGTGAACACATGAAGAACAAGAGAAATCCTCTATTTGCAAACTAGATTGCATCCACAGGTGCAGGGACCAGAAGATCAATATGTATATTGGGAGACATGATTTGATTGATAATACTGCATATGTTCAATAATGAATGCATCTATAATTGAATAGAAAACAGTCCTGGTATTTTGTATCCATTGTCTTATATTCCAGGTGTGCTGGTGATGCAGTAGATTAAGCATTAGGTTGCTAACTGACAGGTGGGCAGTTTGAAGCTACCAGCTGCTCCGAGGGACAAAGATGAGGCAGTTGTCTTCCATAAAGCTTTACAGCCACAGATGCCCTATGGGACAGTTCTATCTGTCCTATGGGGTTGTCATGAGTTGGAACTAATAGCAGTAGGTTTGGTCATTTGGGGGTTTCTATTCTGCCTTTTATACACATTTGAATAATATGTTTATCATTTCCTTAGGCAACAAGATGCTGGTTTAGGTTCAACTACCCCTGATGAAACCACATTACCGAGAATCACCACGTCCGCAGTAGAGAAAGACATTTTGGTAACAGGCTATTTCTTTTGTCAGTATAAATAAAATGAAAAGAAACACTTGGAAATACTTTTATACTTTTGAGATTATTCTGTGCTCCTCCCTGTGGCTATAGAAGTCAATACACAAGTCTCACAGAGTTGTTCAATTTTGATTAATGGAGAAAACCATGTTCTCCCTTGACACCTAACACCACAAAGACTCTTAAGTCACCCTCACCCATGTTAAAGCTCGCTTCTGACATCTCTAATTTTTACATGTTTTTATGAGATAATATTAATTTTATCATGTGTACTTTACAAAGCTTATTTTAGAAACAGTAATATCTCAAGTATTTTCAATACTAAAGATTTTTTAAAATATAAATCCCAAAGACTTTAACATTGCCAATTTGAAAATATTTTGATGTTTTTTCTAAAAATTATGAAAAAATAGACTATGGTTAAAATAAAAAATATATTAGAGGTAAATTTTTCATTTCTTCGAGAAATACTAGGTTTTAAGATGAATATTTTATGTACACATATAATTGCAGCTGTAACATTATAATAATATGGAATGCTAATAGGTCAATTGGAAATTTTCTAAATTCCATTGATTACCATTCCTGAGATTAAAGTATATAGATAAGGATTTGCTTGCAGCTTTTTAAAGATATCATAAAAAAGGACAGAAAATAACATACCAATTTTTACCCATTTATGATTTCTAAATTCTAGATCCCCATGAACTCTGTTAGGTATATTATATATTTGGTAAGTATATCATATATTTGTTTTTCAGAGTAATTATGAACTTAGATAAGAGCTTTAATTTTCAATAAGTAATTTTTTATATCTGTGTGATCTCAAATAATGTTTAAACAAATTGTAAAATAAGCTTTTATATTCTCCTAAAATTTTAATTTTGTTTAGTAGTTTTATTTTCAATAAGCATAAATTTTTATTATAGTACTGAACCTTTCTATATTTCCTCTATTTCCTGTATGTAGAGGTATTACTACTATATTCACCATGGAATTGATACAGAGCATGTAGCCCCAATGGAAGATTCTTGGCTGGAACACGTATTGGATTTAGTTCCCAAACACCTCAAAATCCTCACTGATAGCATACTTGTATTGTCTGATGAAATGAGAGAAGATTATCTTCTTAGTGTAAAAAAATCCATAGGTAAATTGGTATTTCTCTGTTTTCTAATTTGAATATGTATCTTCATTAAGGATCAAACATATTTCTGTATTGAAAATTAATCCCTGTATTTGAAACTTTCTAGTATATTATATATTAATTGTGCTATTTTTTATTGCTTAGACACTTGGACACATTTCATTAGGGAAGCCCAACAGCAGATAAAATCAGTCTACTTGTAGGAATGATGTCTTAGTTACCTAGTGCTGCTAGAACAGACCCTACACTGGGTGTGGCTTTAACAGCTTGTTTTCTCACAGTTTAGGAAGCTAGAAGTCACAACTCTGCTCACTGACTTTGGCTGTAGGGGTCTCTTGCTATAGGGGAAGGTCTTTATCTTTTCAGCTTGTTTCCTGAGCTCTAGGAGTTCTTCTTCTGGCTGCCTCTGCTTGGTTAATCTGTTACTTTTATATTTTGTAAGAGATTGGCTCAAGATATACCCTATACTAATCCTGTTTTAAGGAGCTCTGGTAGTGTAGTGATTACAAATTGGGCTGTGAACCACAAGGTCAGCAGTTTGAAACTATTAGCCGCTCTGTCGGGGGAAAGATGAGGCTTTCTGCTCCCATAAAGATTTACAGCCTTGGAAACCCTGTTCAGGGTTGCTGTGAGTCAGAACCAACTCTACAGCACTTAACAACAACAATTCTGTTTAATTAACGTAACACAACCCATTCCCAAATGGGACTATAACCACAGGCATAGAGGTTAGGAGGGTTTTCAACACATAATTTTGGGGGGACACAATTTAATCCATGACAGATATATACCCTCAGTAAAGGACAGAACTGAAGGACATTGTGAAATTTAATTTCAAGCCCTCAAAATATTTGAGTACCCAGTGTATGCAAGACCTTAGGCACAGGGACACTGTCTCTTCCTTCAGAATGCCCCCTTCAGGGAATTCACAGTGGAGTTCATCATCTATTCACAAAAGCACAACTTGCTCATTATTAGAAAAACCACTTAATTTAAACAAGTTTTACAATTTCCAGTTTTCTGAAGATATAATTGAACAAGTTACTTATCAGAACTTTTAATTTTCTTTCAGTTGATTTTGTTTTAAAAGATCCTAGAGAAAAAGAAGATGAAAAAAAGACTGATGAACTTCTACCCCATCGTGCCGAGTAAGCAATTGGGCTTCTTTGAGAACACTGATTATGCCATTATTTCTTTGTGGTGGTGGGATGCGCTGGAGTCGATTCATACTCAAAGAGACCCTTGTACATGTTTCTGAGGCTGTAAATCTTTATGGGAGCAAAAGTCCTCCTCTTTCTCCCATGGAACAGCTAGCTAGTAGTTTCGAACTGCTGACTTTGAGGTTAGCAGCCCAATTCATAACCACTATGCTACCAGAGCTCCTTGTTGTTGTTGTTGTTGTTGTTGTTGTTAAGAGCCGTCGAGTCGGTTCCGACCCACAGCGACCCTGTACAGGGTTTCCGAGGGTGTAAATCTTTACGGGAGTAGAAAGCCTCATCTTTCTCCTGCGGAGCAGCTGGTAGTTTCGAACCGCTGACATTAAGGTTCGCAGCCCGATTCGTAACCACTACGCTACCAGAGCTCCTACCAGAGCTCCTTATGTGTATATATTTATGCACTGGTTAAACTTGTCAGATAGATGTAATTTATAGCAATTACATCAGTTGTTACTATTTTATCTTTTGATGTACTCAAGCTCTAATACCTTACATGTACAAATTGATGGCTGGATAGGTAGACAGACTCATAGCCAGATGGAAACACAAATGGTTAAAATACACATATCTTAGTGGCAGGGACTTGGTACATGTCTATATTTCCACAGCTCCTAGCACAGGATTTAGATATGTTAAATCCATTAAAGCTTGATTGCAACTTGCATGCCCAGCCCAAATTGGGAACATTGTATAAAAGGTATGCATATAAAATATGTTTCTTTTTCTTTTTTTTTTAATATGTATCATTTTTGTTTGTGACTGTTGTGTGCTAAGGAGTTGGCTCTGACTCATAGCGACCCTGTGTCGGTTTCAGGAAGCAGCTGGTGGGCTTGAACTGCTGACCTTGTAGTTATCAGTCTCGGGCTTATAGAAACATAATGGTGAAATCCACTTGGTATAGTTTCTGCCCTAATAAAAGTTGAATATTTAGGAGTAAATCTCACAAATAGATTGAAGAATGGAACTTAGATTTAAATAATTAATAAAAACTCAAGTTTTATTTTGTTTCTTTTGTAGCATTTAAAAGTGTCCCAAATTGCTTCTCATAGTGACAGTCCCCCCTGAAAAAAAAATCATGGAGTAATTCTCGTAAATCTTCTTTGGGGAACAGCTTTTATTATGGGGAAAGACCAAATCATCCTTTGTAATTATAAAGAATACTATAGCCTAAATGACTGTAAGGTCAGTTTGAACTGCAGGGTCAGAGGTTGAAACCTACTCATGGAAACTCTAGACAGGTTCTCTATGAGTTGGAACTGATTTAACAGCACTTAACAACTCCGTAACCGTAAAATAGCGTTCTGGTGGGGCTCTGTAGGGTAAGCACTGGACTGCTAACCACAAGATGGGTTGTTCAAACCCACCACCTACTCCTCAGAAACCCCAAATAGGGTCACTATGAGTCAGAACCAACTAGATTGGCACTTAGTAACAACAACAAACTACTGCATTTACTATTATAACTGGAAATATTTTTTAAATTACAAGTAAGCATTTGTGGTACTGTGAATTTACTTGATTATAAAACATACTTTTTCAATCATGAAATCATAAAATGTGTGCCATTTATAAATTCTAAAACACAAATGCATAAGCTGTATTATTACTATGGGAGATATATCTTATTTGTTATTTAAATTAAGCCATTCCTACTCAAAATGTATGGAGTCTTGGTATGGCACTAGAGGATAAGCACTGGACTGCTAACCACAAGGTCGGTAGTTCAAGCCCACCAGCTACTCCTTGGAAACTTTTTACAGGGTCGCTATTAGTCGGAACCAACTCCAAGGCACTTAACAACTACAACTCAAAATGTTTACTGATGATTAAAATGCCCTTTTTTGTTTTGAGTTTTAAAGAAGATAACTAATTTTTCTTTGTTTTTAGACTGGAAGTTCTGCCAAAACCTTGGAGGAAATCTTTTCTATCTGCAAGCAATTACATTAGGGATCATTTGAATGCGATGAACCCTACCATGCTGGCTCTGCTAGATTTGTGGCACAGCAATTTTAAGTGAGTATTTTGCCCTAAATGATATTTTTCAAAAAAGAGATGAAAGTTACTTTATTAACTCCAGGCTCTGGTAGCGTAGTGGTTATGAATCAGGTTGCAAACCGCAAGGTCAGCAGTTCGAAACTACCAGCTACTCTGTAGGGGAAAGATGAGACTTTCTGCTCCTGTAAAGATTTACAGCCTCGGAAACCCTATTCAGGGTCGCTGTGAGTCGAAACCGACTCAATGACACTTAACAACAACAACAAACTTACTCCTGGTGTGGCACTATAGAATAAGCACTAGACTCCTAACTACAAGGGTGGTGATTCAAAGCCACCAGCAGGTCTTTGAAAACCCTATACAGGGTCGCTATGAGTTGGAACTGACTTAAAGACACTTAACAACAACAACAGCAAACTATTTCATTTACTATTTTAACTGAAAAATGTTATTAACTCTAATAAAAAAATGTTATATATATTTGTGGTTTTGTGGTTTGTTTGATAAGGCTTTTCTATCAAGTCTTCTTAACTCCCACCAAATGATTAGGTGGAGCCATGCACACAGGGCGTATTAGACTCTAGTACTGAGATTGGTTAGTTTTGCCAGCCTGCTAGGCTCAAAAGGAGCCATCTCAGAAGCAGGAACAGACGACCCAGGACCATTAAGAAGAACTATGAGCAGAACATGAGATTCCTACTTAGAAAAGCGGTCACAGCAGAGTCAGCAGCATGAAGAGATCCAGCTGCTTGCTGTAGGCTTCCTAGCCCATGGAAGCTGACTTGTAGAAAGTGCCTTTTGTGCAGTTACAGACTGGCTAAAAGAGCTTTGTAACACTTGCCTGAGCAGGGCAGAGGTGGAGGGGCCACGTGACTGAGAGGCCAAAGACAAGGTTGAGGGGTGTCTGCAGTACAGCAGAGAAGCGGTGTTCTTGACTGGAGAACTGCTGTATCTGAGTCGTTTCTGATCCTGAATTGCACCTTGCTCAATTTCTTAATAAACCTTGTAACTGTGAATATTGTCTATGAGTTCTGTGTGGCCATTGCATTGGATTATCTCAACAGAGAAGTAAGGATGCTGTAGGAGGGACAGTTGGTGTTGAAATAGGATAAAGAAGTTTGTAGGGTGAAAACATGTCTGATCTCTGCTTCATAAGAATCAGCCTTGGGCTGATTTTGAATTTGATTTTCCTTCCCTTTTGTAAAGTCAGAGCAAGTCAGATACAACCTCCATGCTATTTTTGCAGTGTTTAGATTTGTTACAAGGAAATACATATTTAGAGTAAAAAAATGAAAGTTGTCTTTATTTCTAAGCCAATTCTCTCCTTCCCCAGTCCCAACCCAGTTCCCACATTTCCCATCATTAAAGTTAAGGGTCTGAATTGTTATACTTTGTTTGAAATATCCCACAAAACATTAGATGCTACAGGTATCTACACAGTTTAGAAACCTACTAAGTAAATGGTGTCAGGTGAACCTCTGAGTCCCTAGGGCCAGTTTACTTAATGGAATGAACCACGACCTATAGAATGTAATCATTTACAATTTATCACAGAATGGAGGTCTGGGGCTAGAAGGGCCATGTTAAAGTAATTCACTACAGCACATCTATGTACGTACTGCTAGAAAGTGCATCTTTTTAAATTTCCAGTATACATTATGGGTCATTTGTCTACCCGAATTTGGCTGCTAGTGGATAGGAGTTCTTTGGGTTGTTTTTGCTAAGTGTCATCAAGTCAGTTCCGACTCATAGCAACCTTGTACAGGGTTTCCAAGGAATGACTGGTGAGCTTGAATGGCTGACCTTGCAGTTCAAACTAACCTTGTAGTCCAGTGCATTAACCAGCAGCACCAAAGCTCAAGTACTTTTCCTGACAATGCCCTAATCTATTTTTGCATGAAATTGTACAAGTGAGGTCAGACAATATAGCATATTTTTGCAGACTGCGTCTGTTTACATTAGTGCATAGCTTCAAAACAACATGACATGTAGTTTTTGTTTTATATCCATGTCCAAATGGAACTTCCAGAAAACCCTGGGCAAGATGCTGGGAGATAAGATTCTATTTCCTAGTATTGTCCCTAGGTTAGTCTTTTGCCATTTATTCATCATCAGGAGGCAAGAGATAAGAAGACAAAAGGAGGAAGGGCAATAAAAGTATCAAAGCTGAGATGACCAAACAGTGTGTAGTGGATGTGTGGTGGTTGAGGAGTTCCTAGCAGTGACTGCAGCAGACTTCAAGGCCTCCACAGTCAGGACCAGTGAGAAGGAACTTTGCAGAGTATGAGTGGAAAGGACACACCTGATTCTATGCTGCCCTTGAAAGCCTATGTGGTGTTTGCTTTCTGTTGAGTACTAAGGTGGGCCAGGCAGTCTTATGGGCATCCTCACTCTGGCTGACAGGCATTTGCCCTGATCTCAGCTGACCTCGACAGTGTGTTGTTGTTAGGTACCATTGAATTGGTTCCAACTCAGAGCGACTCTGTGCACAAGAGAATGGCACACTGGCTAGTTCTGCACCCTCCTCATAACTGTTATGTTTGAGTCCATTGTTTCGGCCACTATGCCAGTCTGTCTCATCGACGATCTTCCTCTTTTTCGCTGACCCTCCATTTTACCAAGCACAATGTCCCTCCCCAGGAACTGGGCTGCCCTGACAATTTGTCCAAAATATGAACGATGAAGTCTCACCATTTTTGCTTGTAAGGAGCATTCTGGCTGTTGACTGTATGTGTGGCAGTGATTTGGGGGATGGTTCGTGTTGCTGTTGTTAAGTGCCGTCAAGTCAGTTCCAACTCATAACGACGCTGTTTCAGGTTTCCAAGGAGCAGCCTAGTGAGCTGCTGCTGAACCTTGCCATTCAAACTGACTTTGCAGGCCAGCACATTGTAAAATCATCTGAATAATTATAAAGAAATGAAATAAAAAAAAACAGAGAAATACTGAAGTGATGTTCTCTAAATAGAAGCATGCAAATTCATGCTATTCAGTATTTACCCTTGTTGTTGCTGTTAAGTGCTGTCCAGTCGGTTCCAACCCATAGTGACCCTGTATATGGTTCCCCAGGAGCAGTTGGTGAGCCTGAACCACTGACCTGACAGTTCAAACCAATCTTGCAGTCCAGCACATTAACTCACAGTGCCCCAAACCAAGAAAAAAAAACAAAAAAAAAAACCCCACAAACAAAAAGCCCACTAAACCCATTGCCAGTGAGTCAGTTCTGACTCTTAGAGACCCTATAGCGTGGAGTAGAAATGTCTCATGTGGTCCCCAAAGCAGTGATCTTTAGGGAAATAGATCGCAACAACTTTTTTTTTTCCTACCAAAGAGTGGCTTGTAGGTTTGAACCACTGACCTTTTAGTTAGCCTAGTGTTTAACCACTGCCACATGGCTCATTTATTTACACTTGCAGAACTCACTTAATGTCAAGGATAGCATTTGTGATGTAGTAACAACAGCATCAGAAGAGATCAGAGGATATTCATTCTGTGTGGTTAGGCAAATTTTTAGAAATATGTAAAACATTACACTGCTAATTTCAAAAGGTTAATCTTCAGTTGTCCAGTATAACACAAAATCAAAAGTTTACCTAACAGTGCTTACTGAGGACACTATAACCTTATAGATGAATTTTGATTTGTAAAAAATATGATTAAATAGATTTGAAATGTGTTTTGTATACTGGCATTGAGGTAAACATTAAGTGCGGTGCTTTTAATAGCTTTGTGTATCTTTTGTTGTTATATCATATAGTAATTACTTGACTACATGAAAATTAAATTACAGCTCTTCTAGTAGGGAAGGAATCTGTAGTTAAACTGAGGTGACTAACAAATTGATCCTAATAGGTAATATTTTTCTTTCACTTGGATTAATTTCAGAGAAAATTCTTAAATGAGTAAAATTAGAGCTATAACAGGGATATTTAACAGAGATTGGGTTGTATTGGAAATTAGTTAATGGACTAAGCACTATGGTAAAAAAAAAAAAAAATCAAAACTAGACAAATTCAAAAGATTTTGATACAGTGATTCTTGAGTAAATATAAGAGCTCTCTTAGTCCCTGGCTCTCTACTATCAAGAGCCAATATTGGTCACATGGGATGCATTTCTTTTCAGAGAAGGTGCACTTTTTGTTTGGGGAGCAGTGGACCCTGTAAGCCTTGAGTCCTGCCTCTTGTCCTGTTTTAATTGTTCCAGTGTGAAAGCAAAGAACAGTCTAAAGTGTCCATCACCTCCTAGTTACTGAATCTTCTACTTCACAGTGCAGTTCCAGAATAAGTCCTGTTGAGTTAATTTATGTAAGTTATTTTTTACCAATTTTTGAACAATATAAACTAGACATATGATGTTTATTTGGAGAAGGGAAAAATCAGCAAAAATAGTAAATATAAAAAAGTTTCATTATTAAATTGCTGTTTGTCTTTGTATCTTACAGAAAATTACGATTAGTTGATATAGAAGAATTTCATAGTCGCCAGGATGCACTTGAGCTGTCGAGCTTTCAGAGTATTGCCATGAGACACATGGAATCTGCCAAAGAGACTCTACTTAAAATGTAAGGCTTTGAAATTCCATGCTGTTGTGTGCAATAGAATCAGTTTCTACTCATAGGACACAGGAGAACTGCCCATGGGGGTTCCTAGGCTGTAATCTCTATGGGGCCAGAGTGCCAGGTAGTTTCTTTCACGGAGCAGCAGCTGGTGGGCTTGAACCGCTAACATTTTGGTTAGCAACTGAGCCCTTAACCATGATATCACCAAGGCTCCTTAAAGTTTCATGGGCTGTTATTTTGTTCTGTTAAATCTATTTGGACTCATAGTGACCCTCTAAGATAGAGTGGAACTCCCCATAGGGTTTACAAGGATGCTGATTGCCATGTCTTTCTCCCACAGAGTGGCTGCTAGGTTCAAATGGCCAACCTTCCAGTTAGCAGCTGAGTGCTTAACCATTGCACCATCAGTGATGTTGTTATTGTTGTTGTTAAGTGATGTACAGTAGGCTCCAACTCACAGCAACCCTTATAGGCTCTCTGAGGAGGATGCATACATTTTCTGAAACTTTTTATTGTGAATTAAGTGAAGGTTTACAGAGCAGATCATCGATTTTATAGTCAATAAACCTTACAACTCATTTCATCTCAAGGATTAGAGTCCCCTCCAATAACAGCTGTTGGTTCTTGTTTCCATGGCACATCCTTCTCATCCCTTCTCAACTTTGTCCTTAAGCCAATATTACCCTTTGAGTCTTTAATGGTTGGCCATTCCATATTGATCATACCTCACTAATGTGGTTGTTGTTGTTAATTCCTGTCAACAAGTTGGTTCTGACCCATAGGGACCCATGGGTTTCCTAGCTATAGGTTTCCGAGGAGTGGTTCCGACCCATAGGTTTCCGAGGAGTGGCTGATGAGCATGAACCACCGACTTTGCAGTTCAAACTGACTTTGCAGTCCAATGCATTAACCCACAGTGCCACACCAGGACTCCCACTAGTTTTCTGATCCATTCTATATACCTATCTACTACTTGACTGAGCACCACTAGTCTGTCAGTTTGTCTTACTGTGGTGGCTTGTGAGTTGCTGTGATTCTGAAAGCTATGTCACCAGTATTTTAAGTAAAAGTAGGGTCACCCATGGTGGACAGGTTCAGATGAGCTTCCAGATGAAGACAGACTAGGAAGAAAGAGTGACAAACTACTTCTGAATATTTAGTCACTGAAAACTTATGAATAGCAGAGAAACACTGTCAGATATAGTGCCAGAAAATGAGCCCGCCAGATTGGAAGGCACTCAAAATGCGACTAGGTAAGAGCTACCTCCTCAAAGTAGAGTTGACTGTGACAATCCAAAAGGAGTAAAGCCCATGAGAGAAAAGCCCATGGGACCTTCATTTGCTGATGGGGGACACCTCAAAATGAAGAGAAACAGCTGTAAACATCCATTGAAAATCGGAACATGGAATGTACAAAGTATGAATCTGGGAAAACTAGAAGTTGTCAAAAATGAAATGGAACACATAAACATCAATATCTTAGACATTAGTGAGCTAAAATGGACTGGTATTGGCCATTTTGAATCTGACAACCACATGGTTTACTATGCTGGGAATGACAAATTGAAGAGGAATGGTGTTGCATTCATCATCAAAAAGAACATATCCAGATCAGTCATGAGGTACAGTGCTGTCTGTGATAGGGTAATATCCATGCGCTTACGGGGAAGCCCAGTTGATACCACTATTATTCAGCTGAGGACTAAGGTGCACCTGACCCAAGCCATGTTTTTTTCAATATCTTTCATATGCATGTGAAAGCTGGACAGTGAATAAGGAAGACCATAGAAGAATTGATGCTTTTGACTTATGGTGTTGGAGGAGAATATTGAAAGTGCCATGGGCTGCCAAAAGAACCAATAGATCCATTTTGGAAGAAGTGCAGCCAGAGTGCTCCTTGGAGGCCAAGATGGCCAAACTTCATCTCTCATACTTCAGACATATTGTTAGGAGGGACCAGTCGCTGGAGAAAGATATCATGTTTGGTAAAGTGGAGGGCCAGAGAAAAAGAGGAAGACCCCCAACGAGATGGATTGGCCAAGTGGCAGCATCAATGGACACAAGCATGGCAGCAGTAGTGAGGTTGGTCCAGGATCGGGCAGTGTTTCATTCTGCTGTGCATAAGGTCGCTATGGGCCGGTACTGACTCGATGGCACCTAACAACAACCACAACTTAGCTGAAAATTTGACCAAAAGGTTGAGTTCCTTTCAAGACCTGAAGGGTGGCTGAGGACCATAGTCTCGAGTTCCTCCACATTCTTTCTGACCAGCATGCCTGGTCTTTTTTATAAATTTCCAATTTGTTCCACATTTTCTTACATTCTATCCAGGACCGTCTAGTGTGATCTCTTTCAGAGAAATTGGTAGTGGTAGCCTGACATATTCTAGTTTTTTTGGTCTCACAGTCATGGTGACTGATATTCACATGTCCCATTAGTCCATTCGACTAGTTGATTCCAGGTTTCTTAAATTTTTATCACTCTTCTTTCTTACACACATGGAGAGATCAATTATTGCTCCTTAGATGGTCATTTATGATCTGTTAAGATCCTAGTCACTACTCACCAAAGTAGGATGTAGAATATTGTCTTTGTGGACTATGTTATGCCAATTGACCATGGTCTCCCCTAAGACTGTGGTACTGAACCTCCAAACCCAGCAACTCATTGCCTTAAGATATTTGATAATATCTCAGTTTTCATCATTTTTTCCCCTATTATGCTCCACTACATTCATAGGTGTGTTTGCATGTGCAAATATCCTCTTTCAAACCCTTATATATTTGTGGATATACTCTCACCATTCAGCCTGTGTATTTGTCCATGTATCTACCTATAGAATGCTGTTGCTCCAGCGTTGATCTGAAATATCTATATAGATGATCTACGTGCAGAGACTGTGCAGAAAGTGAAAGGTTTCTAATCGATGGTGGCCTTTCCTGAATCTCTGGAGATGGGTACCTAGGATGGATACCTGGGGAATACAGGAAGCCTAAGAAATGTTGGCTAATCATTCACCCAATATTTGTTTGGCATCTGTCCTTAATACATGTAAAGTGGTTGGGTTTTTTTCATTTTATTTTTGGGTGCAGGAAGATGCCAGAAGAGTTTAAAGAATGATTAGAAGGAGGGGGAAGTGTAGGGAGCGGGTTTCTGGGATATACCCTTTGGGTGGTTGAGGATGCATGGAGGGGATTGGGACCATGGCAGTGAGATGATATATGATGGAATGAATGTAAAACTAAAATTCTCCCATGTAAGCTATCATATAATTCACAATAAAACATTAAAAAAAAAAAAAAGAATGATTAGATGGGGAAGGTATTAAGGAAATTTACAATCCCATTGTGAGGCTAGACTTAATTTTGTTGTTGTTGTTATGTGCTGTTGAGTTGGTTCTGATCCATAGCGACCTTGTATAGGGTTTCCGAGGAGCAGCTGGTGAGCTTGAATCACCACCTTGCAGTTCAAACAGCTTTGCAGTCTGGCACATTAACCCACAGCACCACACCAGCACTCGACGAATGATGATTAAACTTCTTGATTTGACCCTTCAGAATGGAATAGTCACATACGATAATGATGATGCATATGCTAGAAAATTTGCTCTGTAACATTATGGGAAATTTGTCTCTAGCATGGATCACTTCATTATAATAAATAAAATATTAAAACTAGATCAAATTTAAGGTACAATAGACATAAAACTTGAGGCTTAGTTTCATAATTTCTTAAAGTTATTCTGAAATGTACATACAGCATTTAAGATAGAATCTTTCCTTTATCTTTTTTTTTTCTTTTCCAATATATTGAATCAAATTCTTTGTCTGACATTACTTGAAATAACTTAATAGTCTTTTATTTAAGATTGCTACAAACCATTTGTCCACCCAGCGGCCTGACAATTCAGTTATTATTTAAAGTGAGTGAGAGAGAGGTAAAGAGAAGAGCTAGACCTTGAGGACAGAATAAAAATAAATGATCTTGATTATAATTTTAGGGTTTATCCTAGAATAAGAATCCTGGTGTGGCGCTTTAGCATCATAAGTACTATACTGCAAGGTTGATTTGAACAGCAAGGTGGTGGTTTAAACCCACTAGGTACTCCACAAAAACCCTATACAAGGTCGTTATGAGTTGGAATCTACAAGATGACACTTAACAACAACAACAATCCTGGAATAAGACTAGGAAGAAAGGCCTGGCAATTTTCTTCCACACAGTCACAACCTTAAAAACCCTCTGCATAGTTCTACTTTGCACAGATGAGGTTGCCATGAATTGGAAGAAATTAAATGGCAACTGGTTTGTGCGTGTGTGTGTTAGTGTCTATTATATGTCGTGAAGTGATTAGATAATGCAGTAGACTATCCCATCCCATCTACTTTTCTTATTTTCCTACTTCCACTTCAGATCATTTTCTTGGGAGCCACTCCATTATTATTTCCATCGACTCTTTAGTGAACTTACCATCTTCACACATACAAGCCATTCGCTATTACTGAGATAGCAATGGGGAGAGCTCCACTATGACGTCACATCGATGTTGTCGGAGAGGAGAGAAGATGCCGTATCTTTTTATGTCTCTGACAACACCGTCCTAGAGCAGAGTAGACATGCAACATGTTTGCTGTTAGGATGAATAAATAAATGTAAAACTTAGATCATGGTTTTGGAACATTCAAGCAACTCCTGATGGTGATCTTGACATTAAAAACAATGTTCCTGGTTTAAAAACAAAATCTAGCAACTCTCATGAAAGATGAGACTAATATCCCTTAGTTCTATGGTGTTGGATAGTGGTTTTGTAAGCTGAAAACTTTACTTCTCATCATGTTATACCTAGATATGAAATTTCACTATTATCCTTTCAGTATGAGGACATGTACGTATTTGAAACTTTGTTTTAGATCAGCCACCATCTCAAGATATCACATTACAGGGAATAGGAAAATAAAAGATATGATTGTATTCCACTGTATCTTGGTTTCAAGTCATTGGGGAGCAGATAGAATAGCATGAAATAAGCCCTCCTTTGGCTTAACTTTAAACTAACAAATATATACCCCAAAGAACATTTAGAAGATGAAGAAGGAGTGTTTCATAATATCTGAAAAGCTTTGTTCTGTATTTCTGCAAAAAGTGCAGGCATCATAGTTCCATGACTTAGATTTATGTCTTTCTCCCTGCATCACATCATGGAGTCCTTTTCTATTGGCTGTGATTTAAACTTTCTTTTCCTAAGAGGAGTGAAATATGCGAGTGCTTACATTTCAGGGAGTGGATAATGTCACTGAGCAATATACCTCTCAATGAAGACCTTTGAATGTCCAGAAATTACTGTAAGCGGAGTCATTCATTGCAAGTATTAACTTTTAAAAGTCTTTTGTTCTTTCAAGGTGGTTTCCAGAAGTGCAGAATATTTATTACCAAGGTAATAAAAAAAAGCAATTGCCAACTGGTGACAGCAGTGCCAAATTGGAATCTTTTTTCAACTGTGCTGCTACACTTATGACTTTACAGCTGCAGGGCCTCACTTTGGTCTCCATGCAAGATTTCACAGACTTAATTGCACAACCCGCAGTAAGTATGGTTCAGTTACATCAATATTGCGTTTACGAAAGCATTTATTCTCAGTTCTTCAGAGAGGAACATGATAAAAATATCTTTACCAGTAGAAGAGCAGAAAGCTTATCTGTGGACCTATTGCACACAACTATTTTAAAAAGTTAGTGTCAATCTGCATATTTGGATATGTGATTATCATCACATTCCGTGAGGCTTAGTGCAAATAAGTGAAAATTCCCTTAACACGGAAATTTGGCCCACGGTAGCTGGGAATTTTTCCACAAGGAGCCATCTCTTTGGATGGCAGTTCTGATTACTTGTAATTAAGGCCTTGGGTTTTGAATGTTCTACTCTTGATCTCTCTTTCTTACATGATTCTAGAACCCTGCTGCCCTGAACATCCTCCCTTATGTTAGGCTTTGACTTTATAGTTGATCTGTAAACCCAATGGATATGAGATACCAACAAATCTAGCTAGGAATCACTCTTATTTTTCTTAGTAGAATCTCCTGTTATCTGGTAATACTAATACGGTACTGTCAGAGGCACTCTGGTTTCATGAAGTGGGAGGCTAATCTCCATTAGTCCAAAGTCGATTCCTGTGAGGTGGAGGTCAGCTATTGGTTGAGACTCCAGCTATGACACACTGTTTCTCTGTTGGGTTTGATCATTTCTTGCTGTAGTCACACAGAACTCATAGACCATGCTCATGGTTATGGGGTTTTACTAGGGAAGTGACAGGTTGCAACTAAAGATCAGGGTTAACTTGGAAATATGCAACTGGATATAACTCAAAACACATGGTACAGTTCTTCAGTGAGGACAGCTTCCAACTAAGACAGCTCCCAGCTCTTTGGGAGCAGACTCAGCCATGCCATAGAGAGACCCTTTGCTCGGACCTTCTCTCTGTTCAGGCAAGCGTTACAGCTGTTTCATTCCACTGATAAGTGCCTGGTGGTACCCCACTCTGCAGCCCTTTGTCAATCTGCAGGTCAGTGAGCACACTGCAGCAGCCGCAAGCTGATTGCTTGGTTCTTGCCTTTCATCCTGACTTGTGCTTTCTTATATTATCTCCAGTGTTAGAGCGTTCTCTCCTGGGTCTAAGAAGTTCTCAGTACAGAGAACAGGGGTCCAAAGGACAAGCTCCTTTCCTGGCTCTGTATTTTGGGAGTGAGGTCTCTTTCAACCTCTGAAGACTGGTTCTTTAAAGTCTAGGATGGCAAAACTGACCAATCCCCTTGGTAGGACATAACCACCTAGTTTGTATAGATATTGACCAATTCTGGTAAGAGTTTTACAAGCCTTGTTTGCATAGTACACTAACCAATCCCTTTGCAAGACTGTGGCCTAGCAAATTGTCATACCAGTATTATAGACCCACAGGAAGAAAGGCCATATAGAGAAATATCCATTGCTTTGCACCTACTTTGCCTCGCTGCCAAGTGCATGAAAGGAAGAGCAATTATTAGAATGGTTGCCCTCCTTTGTCTACTACAATTCGTATTTGCTTGTTTGTTTATTTTTCTAGGATTCCATCAGAGCCTTTGAACATCCAGGTTTCATCATGAGACTGATTCTTGATAATGACACCATAAAGTTTGAACCTGAGTTTAATGACTATCGAGATATACTTCTAAATGTTTATGATGTTATGATTAAGGCTGTCAGTTTTGTGCCAAGAGTTGAGACAAAATTGTATTCCAAATGGGTAAGTTACAAGCATCTTCTGATTGCTTGGGTTTGCATAAGTTACTCTTTTCAAATAGCTTCTGGAAGGTATGGACATGTATCCTCTACTCTGCAGAATATAAATATAAATGGAATCCTGATGCGGTGCTGCAGGATAAGCACTGGATTGTTAACTGCAAGGTCAGTGATTCAAACCCACCAGCCACTCCTTGGAAACCCTATACAGGATCACTATGAGTCAGAACCAACTTGGCGGCACTTAATGATAGTAACTAGTTTATAAGGAAATTTTTGTTTTGTTTTGTTTTTTAAAGTACCATGTGCCATTTATTTTCCTTATTATATATATGGAGTTTTGTAGCACTGTAGGATAAGCACCTGACCATAAGGTCAGTTTGAACCACAAGGTCCAAACTCAACCAGCTGCTCTTCAGAAACCCTTTACAGGGTCACTATGAGTCAGAACCAACTCAATGGCACTTATCAACAACATATAGACATACATATAGATAGAGATATTAAAGGAGCTCTGGTAGTGTAGTGGTTACGAATTGGGCTGTGAACCTCAAGGCCAGCAGTTCGAAACTACCAGTGGCTCCGCAAGAGAAAGATGAGGCGTTCTGCTCCCATAAAGATTTACAGCCTCGGAAACCCTGTACAGGGTTGCTATGAGTCGGAACCGACTCCACGGCACTTAATAACAACAAAATATATATTAACATATATATATACTTAGTTTTCTGGGTTGATCTCCCACTGGACTCAACTGAAAATTTTCTGAGAAGGGATTAAAGTTGTGAGAAGGTTTAAAGTAGTCAATGAACATTTTCTGTGGCACTCATACTGTGCCATAGACCTTCACTGTACTTTTTCTGTAAAAAAGCCCAAAAAACTATGGAGTATTTTTCTTGTAAAGTACTTTGTAGATAGTTTACTTTTTCTGTAAAGATACTTTATAGTACTTTCTTTGTAAAGATGCTGTAAAGATGACCCTCCAAATATACCTTTTTCAGAAATGGTGCTCGGTTGTCTCATCACTTTCAAATCATATTCTATATCCCCTTCTTGCCTCTTAGGCCAAATAGTTTACCAGTTATCCTGAGCTATGATGCCATAGCAGTAGTATTGCAGTATAATATTTGGTAGAAGCATGCCTGAAAATTCCTTTGGTTATAAGATTTTGAAGTTTTATAGGTCCGTTCCATAGCTTTATTCTTCCTTTACTCTTTTAAAAAATGTCAGGAATATTTTACATCTACAAAAGAGTATAGGAGACTAGTGTGCGAAGCTTAAGGAATAGTAATAAAATAAATGTATCTACAACCCAACTTAAGGAGCTCTCGTAGTGTAGTGGTTACGAATCGGGCTGCGAACCTCAAGGTCAGCAGTTCGAAACTACCAGCTGTTCCG